GTTCGGGATTCTGCCCGGCTCGTTTCGAGGTATTGGACCCGCTCACATTCGAGGATTTCGCATGGCTTCCTCTCCCGACCACGGGCCGCTTGCCGATACTGCAATGTGCAGCATTATGCGCTCATCTTCACACGTACTTATCCTTCGAAGCACCAACAACTTTGTCGACGGATGACGAAGTCGCGGTGGGGGGCATTCTTGCATATGTTACCAAGGTGGCCCGCGAGTTTCGCAAGCAGCGGTACGATGACAACAACGCACCGCTCCTCTATGTCCGCATCCAAACTGGGTAAGTGTCCTGCAGCGCTTTGCTGGATAGAGGCGCGTCTCGCAATTTCATGAGCCAAGCCTTTATGCAAAGGGCTGGCCTTGGCACACAACTTCGGAAGAAGGCAAACTCGACGGCGATCAAGTTGGCGAACGGAAGGACGCAATAACTTATCGACCGCTACATCGAGGCCGTACCGGTGTATTTCGCACCTCATGCATGCGAACAGGTGATGTTCGACATTTTGGAAACGGACTTCGACGTTATTTTGGGAATGCCTTGGCTTGCAAGTGCGGATCACATGGTCAACTTCCACCGGCGGACTCTTACCATTCGCGACGCTTTCTGCGCCGAAGTGCCGTGTACTATTCCTTTTCCGCACCCTTCAATCCGATGCCAAGTGGTGATGGCCAAGTCATTCCGGGCTACTTGCGCTTACGAGCAGCCCGACGAAATCGGCCTATGTTTCCTACGGACCATCGCGGTAGTCGACTCTTCACCCACCGACTTGTCTTCGGACCCCCGTGTGGTGCAGTTGCTTGACGAGTTCGCCGACATCTTCGAGTCACCTACCGGTGTGGTGCCGGATCGGCCGATCTCTCACGAGATCATTCTTAAGGCCGGTGTCGTGCCGCCGAAAGGTTGCATTTACCGCATGAGCGACGAGGAGCTTACGGTCCTCCGCGCGCAACTCGATGACTTGATGGACAAGGGCTGGATCCGCCCTAGTAGCTCCCATATGGAGCGCAAGTTCTCTTCGTACGGAAAAAGAACAAGGATCTACGATTGCGCATTGACTTCGCGAGCGCTTTTGGTGGCCCGACCTTCTCGGCGACGTCACACGCTATTGCGAGTCATCCCGCAACCATTGTCCGTATGGCGAGTTGCGACCATTACCGGTCCCCTTGCGTCGGAGGGAGGCGATTACCATGAACATTACCGGGCCGTTCCCCAAGCACAAGACCGGTGTGGATGGGATTCTCACGGTGGTCGACCGACTCACCGAGTCCGCCATGTTTTTGCCTTGCCGCTATCATGCCACTGCACCGGAATTGGCCGAGGTTCTTTACGGCAGTTGGATTCGAACCAAGGGTTACCCCAAGGAAATCGTCTGCAACAGCGACACTCGGTTCTTGTTCAATTTTTGGTTGGCGCTCATCTCTCAAGCCAAGTTCGGCTCGCCTACTTGGTACACTTTGCGTACTGCACCCTGAACGCAAGATGCAAGGCAAGCCGGTATCTTCGGCTCCAGGTCGCACCTGCGTCCAGGTTCCACCTTCAGATCGTCAGCTTCGCCCTCGACCCGGCTTGACTTCATAAGGACCCCATAAGGAGGGGGGGTGGTTACATGTTGCGCCTGCAACAGGCTGCATGGGCCATTTTCAGTTTTCAGCCTGAAAGCCTGAAAACGAGGGCCTGCAGGCCCCGTGTTGTTTTCAGCCCGAAAGCCTGAAAACAAGGGCCTACAGACCAGCCTGAAAGCCTGAAAACAAGGGCCTACTGGCCTGTGTCGTTTCAGGCTAAATCAGGGCCTTTCCGGCCCTGAGTGTTTTCAGCCTGAAATTGAGGGCAATTTTCGGGCCCTCGTCAATTCGACCCCCTAGAAACTCGAGCACCAGACCAGGGTTTCAGCTTAGGCCATTTTTGGCCTATTTTCAAGACCACCTTTGTTTGAGCTTCAACCCCAGGGTCTGGCACATTTTGGCATCGACAAGAGCAGCCTCCTGGACGGGCCAGCACTATATAAGACTGGCCCGCCCTGCAAGCTGCAGGTAGTTCCTAGGTACTTCCCAAGCACTTCGCGTGCAGTTCAGGAGGCAGGAGATAGTCTTCAGGATTCGGCAGCAGCAGTCTAGAGGAGCGTTGCAGTAGTAGTAGCGCTAGCAATAGTCTTCAGCGCCGGGCGCTAGTAGTGTTAGGAGTAGTCTTCAGCGTTGGGCGCCATAGGAGCTAGAGTCGTACTAGAGAGAGAGAGATTGGGCGGAGGCCAGGGATACCATAGCTCCAGCTTCGCCTTCGAGATACCTGCAACACAACGCCAACTTCACATGTGAGTACCTGGCACATGAGAGAGAGAGTTCTTCTTCTTCCTCTTCATAGTCCACCATTTCCTTCTCACCCTCTCGCTATCTGACTTCACTGCATCAAAAGACTACGAGGGAGAGAGAGAGAGAGCTTGGTGACATTGGATCCAGACTCGACGTTGGGCTTTAGACATTTTGAAGAGAGATTATTTGGGACTTGTAACGAGACATGGTGTTGACGACTTTCCCATCTCCCACTTCCTCTTCTTCGTCTGATCCCCTCCTCTTCGTCTGTGTATGTCTTGACCTGGCGCCTCCTTCCTGTGTATAGCGCCAGGCCCCTTCACAGCTTGTGATGGGCATGATGTATGTTTGGTCTGCGTTGCAACATTGATTGGGCTAGTCATTGATATTCTAGCATTCTGCTACACTATCTTCACTACGTGATAGGGGTCAATCTCGATCAGGTCAGGACTTGTATCTAAAGTTTTCCCTGCACTATAAAGCACCATTTTGTATGAATCGGAATGCACATTGCTTGTTGAGATTCCACTTGCACTGCATTGTCCATTCAGTCCTTTTCATCACATTGCGGATCCTCGGTTTTACATTGGATCCAGACTCGACGTTGGGCTTCAGACATTTTGAAGAGGGATTATTTGGGACTTGTAATGAGACATGGTGTTGACGACTTTCCCGACTCCCCCTTCCTCTTCTTCGTTTGATCCCCTCCTCTTCGTCTGTGTATGTCTGGACCTGGCGCCTCCTTCCTGTGTATAGCGCCAGGCCCCTTCA